ATTTATTTACTTTATAAGACTTTAGCATAGCACTGAGGATTTCACATCACATTTTTCTATCCCAGTTTATGATGGTGTTTGATACTTTTTTATTTGTGTAGAGCTTCAAGATAGACAATGTTGCATGCTTTGCCAGCTGGTGCCAAGATGAAAAGGTTTTTGCCATTGCCAACTCTGGAACAACCAACATAGAGTTGGCCATGAGAAAAGCATGGGCTTCACAGGTTGAAGCCAACAACTTTGAGTGATTGTCCCTGAGCCTTGTTGATGCTCATGGCAAAACTGAGGCAGATCAGGAACTGGAGCCATTTAAATTGAAATGGCAGGTGAGAGGAAATGATTGGAATGCGTGGAATGAAGACATCCTGTCCCGCTGCATGGCCAGTTACGATAGTGGCTTCAATGACATGTGTGGCGTGAGCTTTTTGACAGCCAATCATGTTCCATTGCAGAGTGCTGGTGAGTCCAGGGTCCTGAGAAGAATGTTGGGTGCACCAATCTTGAGCTCCAGATTGTGTGAAGGCACACCGTGCAGTTCGAGGGAGTTCAGAAATTCTGTTGGGTAGTTGACTGCCTCATTGGTGTCTGGGACAGTGTCCACTGACTTGTATTTTTGCACAGTGCCAGGCAATTGAGAAAGAAAGTCTTTGTTTATGGTATTGACCGAATCATTTTTTGGTGCCAGGATGAATCTTTGGCATAGCCACTTGCAGTCATGAAAGTGATGCGCAACATTTGGAAAAACTGCCTCTTTCAGTTCTTGAAGTGTTGCAACTGTTTTCCCAATGTTGTTCATTGAGATAGTTCCATCTTGATTCTCAGATACCATGGCCCCATTTCCCAGTTTGAGAAGGCTTGCAGCAAACTCTCCAACAAATGCATCACTCATTAGATGCACTCGTATGTTGGACATGAGGCTGAGTTGCTGAATGGCTTTCCAAAATGTATGAAGCTTTGAGGCAGGCCTGCAGTTCATCAGTTTTGGTTCCACGTAGAATGACTGGCAGTGTCTTTGAAAATCCGCAGCCAGCACCAGAGTCACTTTTCCCATTGTTTTGTCATTATGTCAAAGATCTTAGAGGCTCTCGAACATACCTTCCAAGGCAGCTTTGTGAGACATTGTACACTCATCCCAGACAATGAGCCGATACTCCTGCAGGACCTTTGCTTTGCCAGTACCCCTGGCAATGTTGCAGGTTGGTGCCTTTGCACTTGCCGGATTTAAGGGAAACTTGAAGGTTGAGCTGTTCTTCTTCCTGTAAACAGTGTGGCAGGAATGCATGATGATGTCACAACAAGGGCAGAAGCATAATCCAAGGCTGGATTGTAGAAGAATGTAGAGTTTCTTTTTCCCTCCAGGGCTGGTTCCTGGCTGCAGCCATTGCTGCTTTGTTTGCAACTCTCTGTGCAGGAGTTTCAGTTGCTTTGGATGCAGCCATTGCTGCTGTGTTTGTTTGTCATCTTGTAACTTACTGCTCTAGAGTCTCAGCTGCTCTGGCTGCAGCTTTTGCAAGTCAATTTTTGGCAAGTTTGCTTCTTGTAGACTGCCTTTCAGGGAATGCCTCTCACAACCCCCTAAGCAGTCCCTGAGAAGGCCCAGTACGGTTTTCTCCCTGGACCTTCCTTAACACCCACTCCACCTGTGGGTGCTCCCAGGTCCTGTTAACCAGTCCCAACCACAGCCCTTAGGCAGGGAATACTCCAAAATAGGGAGCCTTCTCCAGCTGTACCAGTTTACCTTGGCCAGGAGCTTTGAGCTTTGCTAAAGAATGTTTTGCACATGCAAATTTATTCTGCTTCCTGGGGCTGACCTGTCACAGGGGGTTATGCAGTATAGATCAAGCCCCACCCCCAACAAACAAAAAAACAAACAGGGAAAAATTTCTGGAGCCAAATAAAAAAAATAGCACCCAGATGCATGCCCCCAGGGTATGCCTGCAAGGTTTCAGGTCTCTAGGGATCATGGTCTTGGAGCTATGATGCTCACGCTCACACACACACACACGCCCATTTATTAATATAGATGTGCCTGATCCTCCTGCTCTTAACATAAAAGGCAACTTTGTTATTAATTTTACTCAAAGAAGGCAAAGACTTTGCACTAAGGCAGCAAAGACTTTGTTCACATGAGTACCAGGATAACTATGGTGGACCAACATTGGCATTCTTCCTCTTTTGTACTATGTTCTTCAAGCAACCTACAGTTCCTTTCTTGCCAGTCAGTCTGTCTGATATGAGCTGCCAACGCATGTATGACAACAGAAGTTGCTCTAGCATATCTTGCTAATCCCTTTGTGTAGTTTGTATATAATAACCATTATATGTCCATTGTTAAACTACTTATAAATCTGGACAGATAATGGATGCAAATGTAAGCACAGTACTTGCTCCTAGTATGAAATGGGAAATTTCATATTAAAATAATGAAATAATCTGTTAAAATGACTGAGTTGGAGAGAATTACAAGCAAACGCCTAGCTTACCATATAGCATTCCTCCCCTTCTCCCCATTGAATACTCTCTTCTAAAATATTATTGTATCAATTGACCCCTATTACTGTTATTTTAATCATAATTATTAAACCTCTATATAATATCCAAAATGCCTGTCTTCCTTTGATGGCATTATAATTAAGGGGGATTTTCTGACTCAGTGTCATTTACCTTTATTTGTTCTGGCTTAATATACTAATAATAAGTAGTTAGCAGCATAAATTAAAGACAAATCCTTCTCGAGCAGGATAAAGTTTTTCTAAAAAGCATTTCAGCTTAAAAATGGCTGTTGGGAGAAAACAGCAGCTCCATGCATGCTTTCAATTTGTAATTTTGATAAAAATCAGGTTCAACTTCAGAAAAGGTGCTCTTCTCTTAAATACAGCATGGATTAAATTATTCTGTTGGGAGACATAAGTCAGAGCCTTCTCAATCATACACAAAAAGCTCTTGCCTGTAGAGTGTCATATGAGCACAAAAATTAACATTTTGTGAAAGATCAATAAAGTGTATATAAAATATAAATAGATAAGCTTGGATTTTTCTTGTGCAATCTCAGAATGCAGTGTCTGATGAATTTACGGTAATGTAATTGCTCAACTTCTCATCACAGGTCTCTTTCCTCACACAAGAAGCAGTGCTCTTGATCCAAAAGGTGATGCTACTATAAACAGAGCCACAGTTTTGTATTATATGCAGGAATAAAATAAAATCTTCCAAACCTTTTTAATGTGATCGTGCCACTGCCACCATTACTGATAAGTCACTCGCTGCTTACTAATGTCAAAATGACTGGAAGCTGTGAGAAGCTGACAAGGAGGGCAGTAAAGGCCAGGAGCTACTACATATGGAAAATATAAGGTGTTTTTCAAACAGAAACTTTTCATATATCAACAAACGTTTACCATGAAATGCACTTAACCCCAAGGCCAGAAAGCAAATTACTACATGAGCTGAGTATTTGCATTCTTTACTACTGTGGAAGGGAGTAGGATCTCAGTAGGGACCACAACCAGATAACTGGATTGGCCGTTTTTCCTGCTGATCCATTTCATGAAAACACAGTGAGGAGGTGCCACCATCACTTCATTCAGAAAGCTACAGAATCATACGCTAATTTACACTAATTAATATTGCCCTTGGCTTTTGTGCTTAAATTTATACCTGCAGTCAAGTAACTTTCTGAACCAGGTGTTTAGATAAGGCCACAGGTAGACAATATTTTGAAAGGCTCAGAAGTCACTTAGGAACCATGGTTCTCAGTGGGACTTAGACATATTTGAAAACTGAATTTAGGAGACTAAATTGATAGCCAACATTTTTTTTTAAAGTTACCCCCAGCAAACACCATGTATTAGAAACTAAATATGGGGGAGACCAAGAAAGATAGTATTTTTTAACAAAGAAATAAATTGCTTCTCTAAAACAGGAACTTTCAGATCCCAGGGTAAACAATTCTTGCACTTACAACCCAAATGCAGCAGAACCACTCAGGTTTCTACTATATCTGATGCTTCAGATATAGAGATATGGACAGAATTTGTCCACTGGCGTGTATGTTTCAGAGAATTTTAAAATCTACATATAGGGCACAGAATGATAATATTACTTTGAACAGGCTCTAAGTAGTCCCTTTTTCATTTTCAAAGGGCCTTTTACAGCCCTAGCTAATGAATTGCCACCATGCTTGAGAGATAAGCAAGCACTAACATTCAGCTTGGGAAAACAAAACAAAGAGATCAAATATGGCTTTCTTTTTTTTAAAGAACATTTAGCTTGGTGTCAAAGCAGGTATACTGCAGTGCTATAAAATGAATTACAAACTGCAAGTGTATTGAATCCAGAGACACTGGAAATACTTAATGCAGAGACAGGGATGACAAGATTAAATATAATTTAAGTTTTAAATGGAAAAAATCAGATTCTCCACTGGTGTAAATCACTGTAGCTCCATTGTATATAGCGGTGCATCTCAACAGAAGGTGCCATGGGTGGACTGCAAGAACAGATAGAGGCAGGGGAAGGTTGGCCTGAACATTCTTGTGGCACCAGGCAGCACTGTACTGTCCTTAATATGCTATTTACTGAACAGGAAGAAGCAGGACTTCTTAATACAGCACTGGAGGCAGGCTAATTAACTCTGCAGAGAAGGAAGGCTACATTGTCTAGGAATAACATCACACAAATGTGGCTACGCTGCTCTTATTCAAGGGCTGGTACACACAGTTGTAGGGCAAGTATCCCTGCAGCATAACTGTTCATAGAATGAGGGTGGTAGGCCATGTATGGCATTGAGCAGATGGACTGGCTCTGGGATGGCTGTGGGGGTCGACTAGGTAGCTTTTTGGGCCATAAGGGTGAGTATACTCTGAACCACAATTAAAAAAAACCCTGAGAATCTCTGAGCTACAGGACCCACTACTATACCAAAATTATTTGAACACCACTAATTTTCACCAGCTAAAGATCTGGCCTACAGGCTGTAATTGTATCCTTCCAATACTCACCGTTTCTGTCAATGGCAAAAGGAACTTCAGTAGTGACAATTTCATAATTGCATATCTGGCTGTATTGTGGTGAACAGTCTTCATCTATGGCTTCCACTTGCAATATACTGTCATAGATCTTTCCTTCTGTTACTGTGGCCTTATATGAGCTCTCCTTGAAAGCTGGTGCAAACTCATTAACATCCTTTACCTGGATATGGACCACTGCCCTAAAAAAGATTCAAATGAAGAATGTGGAGATAGGAAGACTTTTATCTTGACTTCAAAGAAGATAGCGTCAATATCTAGTCATTTTCAAAACACATGAAAGGTTGCTAGGAAAGATGGCTAGGAAAATAAATATCTATTGTAAATAAAGCATCTGCACAATTCAGCTACTTTTTTCTGTATTTCATTTCTATTTTTAATATGCATACTTTTATATTCGAATATGGTATTTCATCTGCTAAGCAAAAAATTGTGCCACAAAGTTATCAAGGGGAAAGCCTGACTCTGCTTTCATATATCACGGATGCAAATACAAAGTAAGTCCATGGAAGTCCCCTTTGCAAGTAAGCATCTTCCTCCCCTCTCATGGCAGACCTTGACTGTTTAACACAGATTGGGGCACTTATTTGGACCCACAGGCCACATAGGAAGTTTGGATGAGCTGTCGGGGGCTGGGTCAGTACCTCCTACCTCCCCACCCCTGTGCACAACAACTCATTCACTAAAACTTCCTATAGGGCTGTGGGCAGGTCAGGGGCAGTGTTCAATAGTTGGGGGTAGGTGAGGCAGGGATAATGGGGCTCAGTTGCAGGGTGGTGACAGCTCAGGGCTGGGAACTAGGCTAATCTGTGATCTGCTCCCTGTATGCCCTGCCTGGTGGGGGGAGAGGCATGGGGAGAGTATGTGTGCATGTGTGGGGGGATCCTCAGGAGACCTCAGCAGCCAGATCTCACTCTCTCCTTTGTGCACCTGGCCCAGGAGCAGGGCCCCCAGACATTAGGAGAGCAGCCTCCTCCTTGCCAGCCTGCCCCC